TGTGGATTCTCACTTCTCAGGAATCCCTGGGGAACCTTCGGAATCCTCAGGAGTCCTTCGGAGTCCGAACGACCACCAGGAATCTTCAAGAATCGTGACCACCAGGAATCTTCAGAAATCCTAAAGGATCCATACGACCCCGCAGGAACCCCGAGGGACCACCAGGAATCTCCAAGTATCCGTAGGAATCCTTAGTAATCTTGTGGATTCTTGGGGATTCCTGGCGGTTCTAGGGCATTCCACTGCATTTTCTTTGGGTTTCTGCGGTCTCCAGCAGATTCTCAGCGATTCCTGAGCACCCTAGGGGTTTCTAGGGAGTCCTATGGATCCGTGGGGATCTCTAAGGATTCCAGAATAGTTCAACGAATTCCTGTGGGTCCCATTGGAATTTTCGTAGGTTCCCAGGGATTCCTGGGGATTCCCATGAGTTCCTGCGAGTTGTTGAGGATGCCTATGGGTTCTTCAGGATTCCGATGGGTTCCTCAGGATTCCAAAGGCTTCAGAGGATCCCAGCGGACTCCAACGGATTCCACGGGATTCCACCGGATCCCCGAGGATTATTGCATCGGATTCCCGCGGATTCCAGATGATCCCAAAGGATCCTTTACAATTCCGATGGATCCCAGAGGATTCCAGCAGACCCCAGAGAATTCCAAACGACTCCTATGGGTTCCAGGGGAGTCGTATGGATTCTATCGCATTCCATGGGATCCCTTTGGACTCTAGAGTCTAGAGGTTTCCAGAGGATTCCAGTTGATCCCTGTGGATCCCATCGGACTCCAGAGGATCCCCCCAAGGATTCCACAGGATTCCAGATAAATTCCCATGCATTTCAGAGGAACCCAGAGGATGGAGGAGGAGGAGGAGGAGGAGGAGGAGGAGGAGGAGGAGGAGGAGGAGGAGGAGGAGGAGCAGTTGCAGGAGCAGGAGCAGGAGAACGAGGAGTAGGAGGAGAAGGCGGATAAAAAAGGGGGAGGAGGAGGAGGAGGAGGAGGAGGAGAGGAGGAGGAGGAGGAGGAGGAAGGCACATGATGATGTTGCTGCTGATGATGATGCTGATGATGATGCTGATGATGATGATGCTGCTGCTGATGATGCTGCTGATGATGATGCTGATGCTGATGCTGATGCTGATGCTGATGCTGATGCTGATGCTGCTGCTGCTGATGATGATGATGATGATGATGAGGATGATGATGATGATGATGATGATGATGATGATGATGATGATGATGATGATGATGATGATGATGATGATGATGATGATGATGATGATGATGATGATGATTGATGCTGATGCTGATGCTGATGCTGATGCTGATGCTGATGCTGTGCTGCTGCTGATGATGATGATGATGATGATGATGATGCTGCTGATGATGAGATGACGATGATGATGATGATGATGATGATGATGATGCTGATGATGATGATGATGATGATGATGATGAGGAGAGGAGGAGGAGGAGGAGGAGGAGGGAGGAGGAGGAGGAGGATGATGATGATGATGAGGAGGAGGAGGAGGAGGAGGAGGAGGAGGCAGGTGGAGGAGGAGGAGGCCCGCGGGTTCTTCTCTGCTCGACGGGGCCTCGGTGTGAGCCTGTGCAGGTCCTGCGCGGGCGGGCGCCGTCGCGCAGCTCCGACGCGCTGCTGTTCAGCGTGCCCGACCACGCGGAGGTGAGCCGCTGTGCCTCGCTCCTGAGGCTCCGGCCGGGCGTGCCTGCAGAGGATTTGATTCGGTATCGTTTAACCACTCCCCATCCCCATCCCCATCCCTTGCGAGGCCCTCAGGGGGGGAAAAACTATTTTTCCCGGCAAACTCGACTTTTTCCCGGCAAACTGGACTGTTTCCCGGCGATCCGTTTCAGAAACATTTAAAGCTTTTGAAAAGCTTTAAAGAGTTCCTTCCGACGACTCCTGAGGCGCCTCTTGGGGCCTCAGGAGGCGCCTCTTGGGGCCTCCTGAGGAGCCTCTGGGGGCCTCCTGAGGAGCCTCTGGGGGCCTCCTGAGGAGCCGCTTGCGGCCCCCTGAGGCGCCTCTTGGGGCCTCCTGAGGAGCCTCTTGGGGCCTCCTGAGGAGCCGCTTGCGGCCTCCTGAAGAGCTTGTTGGGGCCTCCTGAGGAGCCTCTGGGGGCCTCCTGAGGAGCCTCTGGGGGGCTCCTGAGGAGCCGCTTGAGGCCTCCTGAGGGGGGCTCCTGAGGAGCCGCTTGTTACGCCTTTCGGGGGTCTTTGGGAGGCAGTTTTGAAGCCTCTTGAGGGCCGTTTTAGGGCCTCTGGGAGTCTTGGGGGCTTCTTGGGGGCTGCTTGGGGCTTCTTGGGGGCCTCTTGGGGGCCTCTTGGGGGCCTCTGGGGGCCTCTGGGGGCACTCTTGGGCCCCCCTGGGGCTCCTGGGGGCGGAAAGTTTGATTTTTTGATTTTTTTGTCGCCCTCTTGGACCCCTCTTGGTGCCGTCTTGGAGCCCTCTTGGGCCGTCTTGGGGCCGTCTTGGGCCGTCTTGGGGCCGTCTTGGGGTTCTCTTGGGCCCTCTTGGGGCCGTCTTGGGGGCCTCTTGGGCCGTCTCAGAGCGTCGGGAAGCCGAAAAGGCGAGAAAGCAAAAAACATCGAAAACACACAATGGGAAATCAACAATGTTAGCCTCTTGGGGCCCTCTTGGGAGGCCTCTTGGGGGCCTCTTGGGCCGTCTTGGAGGCCTCTTGGCCCGTCTTGGGGCCATCTTGGGCGTCTTGGAGCGCTCTTTGGGCGTCTCGGGCCCCTCTTGGGCCGTCTTGGATGCCTCTTGGGGCCCTCTGGGCACGTCTTGGGGCCTTCGTGGGCCCGAAAAAGTCACGCGGCCAGCTGCGACAAGGCCCAAGGCAGCTGCGACAAGGCCCAAGGGAACCGCGACAAGGCCCGGGAGATTTTGCAATTTGGGCTCTGGTGCCCTTAATGATTCCTCAGGAGCGAGGACTCAGGCTCAGGGGACTTGGCAGAGGACCTCAGGAAACGCCCACTCCGTGCCCAGAGGCACGGTGGCGGATAACCAGTAGTACGTCTACCTGGACGGTTTTTGACATCGCTTACGAATACTTCTGCTTTTACTACCACTAATCTTTCCACTACTACAACTACTATTCGTAATCTCACTATCCTTAATACAATCACTCCTAGTAGTACTAATCCACTAACCCTACTACTACTACTGCTACTACTACTACTACTACTACTACTACTACTACTACTACTACTACTACTACTACTCTACTACTACTACGACTACTACTACTACTACTACTACTACTACTACTACTACTACTACTACTACTACTACTACTACTACTACTACTACTACTACTACTACTACTACTACTACTACTACTACTACTACTACTACTACTACTACTACTACTACTACTACTACTACTACTACTACTACTACTACTACTACTACTACTACTACTACTACTACTACTACTACTACTACTACTACTACTACTACTACTACTACTACTACTACTACTACTACTACTACTACTACTACTACTACTACTACTACTACTACTACTACTACTACTACTACTACTACTACTACTACTACTACTACTATTACTATTACAAACACTGCGAGGAGTAGTGCTACGGCGAAGGCCGCACGACACAAGTCAACCACTGGACTCTTTCCCGGCTAGGATCTGCGCAGCGGGAGTTGGAGACCCTTAAGGTGATAGTGGGATTTTCGGAAATCCATGCTTCAAGCTTCCATACAAAAACTAAGCAAACTGGACTCTTTCCCGGCGGAGCGCCGGGGAAAAGTCCAGTTTGCCGGGAAAAAGCCCAGTTTGCCGGGAAAAAGTGGACAACCCCACATTACCACCCAGTTGGGGATACATCCCTCGAAACCCGAAGGGAACGACCCATATCCCCATCTGGGGGGGTTCAATCGGCCAGTGGGGCCCAGGCCACGCCGCTGGGAATGGGAATCGGTTAAACGATACTCATTGTTCGGGTCGGGCGGGTGGTAATGGGGGGCCCTAAATGGAGCCCTTTGGGGTCCTTTTTTGGCCAGTGCTCGCTCCACAAGGACGGAACCCTAAAGGCCCCCTTTAGGATCCTTTTCTTCACCCCCCCATTTAGGTCAGCCCTCCAATACCTCCCGCCCGACGGGTTGCAGATCATGGGGTCCTGGTATACCCTCGTAATTCCGCGTTCGGCGGGCACCCGTGTCGAGTCTGGCAGTCGATGAGATAGCGCCGACTCGCGTCGATCTGGCATCGATGAAGCGCCGATTAGCGTCGATGGGCGCCGAGTCGCCAGAGCCAACAAGATCTGATGTGAGGCTGGCACGAGTCGCCACCGAAGGGGAGGGGGGAGACAGAGAGGACGGCAGAGGGTGGAGGGAGCCGTCCCCGCCCGTGGCCCCTCGCCCCCCTCCCCTCCCTGCCCGCCGCCCCGCACCCACCCTCATGCCGCGCCCCCCGCCTCCCGTCCCTCGCCCCCCCCCTGCCCTGCCCGCCCCTCCCCCCTCCCCTGGTGGTCCCTGGGGTCCTCTTGGGCCGCCTAATTAGGAGCGTCGGAGCGAGCGAACGGCGAGACCGCCGGCCCCTGCCAGAAACCTGGCGGGACCCTGTGAGTTGTGCCTCTTGAGAACCTCTTGGGAGCCCCTCTTCCTCCTCCTCCTCCTCCTCCTCCTCCTCCTCCTCCTCCTCCTCCTCCTCCTCCTCCCCTGTCCCAGCCGCTTCCGCCCTCCTCCTCCTCCTCCCCTGTCCCAGCCGCTCCCGCCCCGTCGGACCTCGCCCGGCGACTCTTCTTCGGGGCCTTCGGCCGGCCCCCTCGCTGCGCCCGCGGCGGCCTGCCTCCCCGAGGGAGTTTGTTTTGCGAGGGCTCGACGCCCACCCCGTGGCACGCGGCCCCTGGCTCGTGCCACGCGGGAGCGGCGAGGGGCAGGAGTTGCCGGGGAGAGGAGGGGGGGGGGGAGCCCCCCTGGGGCCGTCCCTGGGGGCCTTCTCGGCGCCGTGCGTCGGGAGGGCAGGCCCTGATCGCGGGGGGCCCCCGGCTCTGGACACACGGCGGGGTGGGCTTCCCCCTCCCTTCCCCCCCCCTCCCGTTCCCCCCCCCGCCCCCCTCCCCTCCCCCTCCCGTTCCCCCCGCCCCCCCCCTCCCCCCCCTCCCCGTTCCCCCCCCCCCCCCTCCCCCCCCCTCCCCCCCTCCCTCCCCCCTCCCCTCCCCCCCCTCCCCCCCCCGCCCCTCCCCCCCCCCCGGTCTGGCTGCGGCCGCCCTCCCGCCGATGCAGGGCCCTGGCCGCCACGCGGGCCTCTGGCCAGGAGCCGCCGCCCGCCGCCACGGCCCTCCGAGCCCTCCTCCCCTCCTCCTCTCCTCCTCCTCCTCCTCCTCCTCCTCCTCCTCCTCCTCCTCCTCCTCCTCCTCCTCCTCCTCCTCCTCCTCCTCCTCCTCCTCCTCCTCCTCCTCCTCCTCCTCCTCCCCTCCTCCTCCTCCTCCTCCTCCTCCTCCCCTCCTCCTCCTCCTCCTCCTCCTCCTCCTCCCTCCTCCTCCTCCTCCTCCTCCTCCTCCTCCTCCTCCTCCTCCTCCTCCTACCTCCTCCTCCTCCTCCTCCTCCTCCTCCTCCTCCTCCTCCTCCTCCTCCCCTCCTCCTCCTCCTCCTCCTCCCTCCTCCTCCCGCGGCAGGGGCGGGGGGGCCGGGGACGAGCACGCGCTCGGCCACTCGCTGGGGGGGGTAGGGGGCCGCATGCGAACCCTACCCCTACCCCCACAATTTCTGAGGGGGGGGTGGGGTTCACTTCGTTCGGGAGCTCCCGAGCGAAGTGAGCCCCACCCTCCCCCTCAGAAATCGTGGGGGGTAGGGGTAGGGTTCGCTTGTGGACCCCTAGGGGGGCGAGGGCAGGGGGGGTAGGGGAAGGCCTCGTAGAGACACCCCCGCTTCTGAGAAGGCGCGGGCCTCCTCTGCAGAGGTGGGGCCAGCGCCTTCCAAGGAGCAGCCTCCTTCTGAGAGGCCTTCCCCCTCCCCCTACCCCCTTGTGCGCGCCGCCAGCGTGCGGTAGGCTCGAATGGTGTCGACGCGGCGGCGTCCGCAGCGCGGGCGTTCAAGGTTCACTGCCGCCGGTGGCCCAGAGTCGGTCGTTGTCGCACGATCTGCGATGCAAGCGGTGTCAGAAACCAAGGCCGAGGTCGTCACGGCACGAACCCGCTGTACCGCTAGAGGTACTGGTCTCCCGTCTGTATTCGCCACCGGGTCAGAACGCGCCCCTGGAGAGGTCCGCGGAGTCGCTGTATCGGTATCTTTGTACCTTTTTGCTCCCACAGGCGACGGCCGGACATGGAATACGGGGAAGGGGGGCCGCGGTGATAGTCCCTCGGAATGGTGCTGAGGCGGGCGAGAGGGAAGGGGACAAGGGGAAACGGGAGGAAACGAGAAATATTAATCAGAGGAAGCAGAACATACAATAGTCGTAGGAGGACGAAATAGACTATTATTAATCGTATGGCTACTAAGAAGGAGACGAATCATACGCATAACAAGCTATTACTACGACTAATCGCAATACTAAGAAGGAGCTCCATAGTAACAATTATAATATGCACAATTCGAACTCTAATAGTACTAATGATAATCATTCTAATGCGAAGGACAATAATCTTATAGCAATCGTAATACTAATAATCTCCAGAGGGGTGAGGAGGAAGAGGAGAAGAAATATCGGTGAACGGGCGGGGGTGTTGTACGATGAATGGGGACAGGCATCGAGGGCGGTGTGGGCAGGGTGGAAGGGAATAGGAGAGAGGGGGAGGTGGGGATGGAGGGGGGGAGGGGACGAGGGAACAGTGGGGGGAGAGGGGGGAGAGAGGGGGAGGAACTGGGGGAGAGGGAGAGGAGAGTGAGGGAGACTGGATCGTCCCAGTCCTGTCAATCTCAGCCCAGGGGCAGGCGCAGCCGGAGCTTCGGCCTCTTCTCCCGTTGTCCCCTCACCTCGGGTACTCCTGCTCCTCCGGCTTCCTCCCTTTATCCCTCTCCCTTCTCTCTCCCTTTTATCTCTTTCCTGCATCCCTCCTCTCCATCTCCATCCTCCCTCCTGCATCCCCTCTCGCTCCCCGCCCCTCCCCCTCTCGGCCTTCTCCCTGGCCCGCCCTCCGTTGAGGTCTTGATTGTCGCCCTGCCACTTGGTGAGAACTGATGGGCGGGTGTGGGAGTCAGGAGGGGAAAAATCACAGACACCATTAATCGTCGACTCCCAGGAAGACATGGGAAAACATGGGAAGTGGGGGGAAGAAGACCAAAGCCCAGAAAATATAGGGAATCCTGCTATTTGTGCGTATTTATTTGCGTACCCTTGGGCCCCTTCTGGGAGGGCGCCGCGCGCCCCCCCCCCCGCCGCAGGACGCGAGGCCGCCGCCGGAGGGCGCGTGGGCCGAGGAGGCCTGCGGCGACCTGGCGCACGGCTTCCTGACCCTGCGGCTGGAGCACCCCGACTCGGAGGGGCCAGGGTCGGGGGAGGGGGGGGATGGTGACGAT